GAACGCCCTCGGTATCTCAAGTGCGCCCGTTACTGATAAGCGTATCACCTCAAGCGTCGAGTCAGCCTCGACAGTCTACAATGCTCGAACATTTTCTATGCTCTCTGCCGGATCCACGAGTACCGCTCTGACCACGCATTCATCTATCTTTGGCCCATCTACACCTGATTTGGCGCTTTCCAGTGCCCGGCAATCCAAGGATCTGAGCTTTTCCCAGTATGAACGCTATCTATCAGTGATCGATCCTCACCACAACAACGTAAAAGCTGCAAGGGACTCACAAACGCCCGATGCCACTGCTCAGAGTATATTCAGCGGTAAGACGAAACGCAGCCTTTTCAGCGTTAGGTCGGGCTTCAGATTACGATGGAAGAAGAAGGCATCCCCGCAGCCACTCCAGGCCATATTGTACGTCCTGACCCGGATCCCGACTAACATGGTATCACGAAACCAGAGTGTGCTGACTCTCGTCATAGGACCTGTGCGAGCTGCCGTGCGGACTTCAAGAGCTCCAAATCATTACACAGCATCTCATGTGGCCACACATATTGCGATAACTGCCTAAGATCGCTCATCCATACAGCCATGTCCGACGAATCGAGCATGCCACCGAGATGCTGTGCTCAGCCATTGCCGGGATCCTTGATGAGGGATCTTCTCAGTCGCGACGCCCAGCAGGAGTTTATGAAGGCCATTATACAATACAGCACACCCTGGCAGGCAAGGATATTCTGTTCCAACCCTTCATGCGGAGGATTCATTCCACCACATCAAAAATTGGACCCCAAGTATCCTTCCACTGTTACTTGCCGCAAATGCAACACAAGAGTTTGCCTTATGTGTAAACATAACGCACATCCGACAGGTAAGGACTGTCCGGAAGATTGGGAACTCGACCAGGTTATCAAGGAAGGGGGCAAAGCTGGTTGGAAACGGTGTTACAAATGCCAGAACTTGGTGCCACTTGAAGAAGCCAGTACACATATGACTTGTCGGTGCAAATCTCAGTTCTGCTACACATGCGGAGGTGTGTGGGATGCCAATGCTGGGTGCCCGAACGATTGTGATGGGGAGGAGGAGATGGACCGGAGGAGAACGGAGGAACAGGCTCAACTCGCCGAATATGAAGACGAGAAGGCCGCACAGGAAGCAGCCGCTGCAGCGGCATCCGCCGAGCGCCTCGAAGCCGAAGAACGAACGAGAAACAATGCTGATTTCTCCCACCTCGCCGAGATGCATCGGCAAGAACTTAGACGGTTCCTCGAATTCGCTGAACAGGGTAGGGAGCACATGAGGACACGGTTTATAGAGCAGAAAAGTTCGATGATGAAACGACATGCCGAGCTCAAGGAGAGCATGAAAGAAAAACACGCGAGGACTGTGAGCCAATTGGAGGACCGGCAGGTAGCTGCCGAGATGGACCTGAGAAACACCCTGGAAGCGAGTGAACGAAGTGTCAGGATTCGACTGAAGCATATGGAAGCTTACTGTGATGGATTGGGACGCAATGGTGCGAGCTCAAGCCCGGGCTCGGACTCCCAACCACATCGAGTGGTTACGGAACGCGATCTTCGAGAGCTCGGGCAACAGTACAATATTCGCGATGGCATGGAAAGATCACACCAGGCCAAGATTAATGTGATGAGGGATCGCCAGGCTAAACGCATGGAAGAACTCATCGACCGACAAGAGGCTGAGTACGAAACCTTACTCGAGCGGAATCGACAGGAACTCATAGAGTTGGATGCTCAGGCGGTCCTGGAGGAAGAAACACTGGTGCACACATTCACGGCACGAAAATCTAAGCTTGTGCGTCGGTGGGAACTTGCCATCGGGATCTTGCGCAAGGAGCTCGAAGACCAAGACGGTGTCAAGTACGCACCAATTCCCACACCAACATGGCCTGAACAAACATCACAGGTCCTTGTTGGATAGATCTTTTTCTCAACTGTTCTTTTGTCTTCTGAGTAAGATAACTTGCATGGCTAGCAACAGCATCACATTTACTGCCACATGACTAACTTCATGATACAACGTATTCTTCGTTCCGTGTTACTTCACGACCAAAAGCGAATTTGCGCCTTACTTTCTTATAATTTTTGTTTTAACACACGCACATATCTTATACAGCATTATACCAGGCGTAAAGGCCATGGGGTACGGACGACTTAGAGCAAGTCTCCGCCGGTTTGTCTCTTTCTGGGAGTTTCAGGCATCTTCTTAATAGCATCAGCATAGCATTATGGCCGCATATTTCATTCATATATTGTTGGGGGCGAGACAAGGTCGTTGTGAGACGATGCTCTGTTCGCAACCATACTCATATCCAGACAATTGGTCTTGATAGAGCGGATATCAGTGGATCATAGAAGAAGGATAAGAGAGTTATCAGACTCCGGGCTTCGTTCGCACACTGTTTGCCAACGGATCTGAGTATCGCGAAAGTTCTGGAGTGGGTGGCCTGGTTGAATGTGCATGACTGTAAATACCCCGGGCCTGATAGATAGGATTTGAATGATTGACCGAATGAATCAGAATGGTACTTCATCAAGCCATAGTACCACCCACCCGATAGCATGTGTTTCGCAAACGGCATCTGGCTCCGGCAACTTGCACCAAATTCGCCATCGAGAACGCCGTCGCACCAGCGGATGTAAGTCAAAAGCTGTAGCATCGCAGAAGATTGATGACTCGTTTAGCCAGTAGCACCAGACATGGACTTGCAGTGAGGTATCAGCATTGGACGGCTGACGTTGGCGCCGAACCCTAGCCCCTTGTTCCATCCAGCAGCCAACACCCGTGTGTTGCGATAACGAATATTTGGGGTGGGCTGATGTGTATTGTGAAATCCGTTTGGTCTGTTTGTCAGGCCTGGGGTTGCATCGTTAAAGAGTGGCAAACACGGCCTGCGTGTGCATTCGTTTGTCGGAGAATACAGCAATCCTACCATCCTCTTCCTTGGTGGACATGTAGCAATGTGTTTTTACAAGGGTGATCATAAAAGACTCAGACTGTAGGACAAACCCACCCAATGCGGGTGATGTTGTTTGTTTGCGGCTGTGGCTGCAGACTGTCTTTCTTGTTTTAGAAACAGGCGTCTCGGCAATTCGAGTAGACTTTCAATAGTTTTGTGCGCGTATCCTCTGCTGGAATAGAATATGCTAGGATCTTATATGAAACACGAGGTCTAGTTCGAGGATTTTCAACACTAGCGGTTATAAATAGGAGAAGCTATGCCAGAGCGACAATCTCAAAGTTTCAAAGAGTTGTATGTATGTATGTACGCTCTGCTGGCAGGCTAGGACATCCCTTTTTAAGCATATATGATAGATCAACCCTGCTGGAGCTTTTGTGGTTGAGGTGTGTTACCGTTAGGGGGTATGTATGGATGTAAGTGAGAAAGCAACACAACCGTTGTCTCGCCTCTGCAGATATGGCTGCATCAGGCCGCAGAGGGTAATAGCACTGCGGTTCCCGCAGCAGGCTACAATTTGTGCGAGAGATTGGCTGTTCTTTGATAGACGAACTAATGCTGGCGCCCGCAGCCACCAAAGAAGGCATGTTTCAATCGGTAAAGAGTCCTGGGTGGAACGATAGCCACCCGTCAGCAACGATGCGTATCATATCAGGAGTCAGAGAACGAGGTGAATATAGTAGGTAGGTAACGTTTTGAAAACTGCCGTCAGCCGTTGTGGCTTTTGAACTTGTCCAACTCGCCGCCAAACACGTTGCGAAAAGAGTGGGCTGGGGTACGTAAGTAGAATACCTCCCGTCCACTTGCAATCTAAAGGTATTACCAGAAGATACTCCATAGTACCTCAGGTATAGTTAGTACCTTGGTAGGTAGGGCTTGTCTTGGCTGAGTAGCGGTTCCCTGTAAGAAATCATAGGTAAGGTTGGTAGTGAGTGGCTTCCAGGTACCGTTTGTATGGATCATGGGGTAAGGTAATTCGCTCGGGCTCTTGCATTCGAGGCGCTTTTGTTTGCGCGTGCTAACTGAGAAGTAGTGGAGGTAAATAATGCCAAGTCATTGTTTTGGGTGAAGTCGAGATCGGGGTTATCGAGCTAAGGGAGACGTAGGCACCAGATGAAGGGTCCCGTCCCCCGTCCCTGGAAAGAGACCCCTAACACCGCTAAAGAACCGCCCCGAGAGACTCAGTTGGTGGCGTCCTTGCCTTGAAACCCGAGGGGACAAGAAATATACATAGGTGGGCTCAGCCACAATCAGCCCAATTTATGGTTCCATCCAATCCGTCTACACCTCACAAGCAGTCAGTCAGTGTTTCCTTTCCATTCCCTCCCCACCGGCCGACCAAGCGATCTCCATCTCCATCTCCATCTCCATCTCCATTTCCAATTCTAATTCTAATTCCATTTGCATTGCATTGCATTCACATCTTGCACCTTCGAGGCATATTTGCCTCTCTAATTTGGCTCAATCAGTCCTGTCACCTCTTCTCATAAGGGCGCGTATTCGCCTGCGTCGCCTTGTGCATCCCCGCTGTTCATCATTTCCGAAAGACCGTGCTGCCTCGACGACAAATCGGCCCAGCCAGTCCTGGCACCGAATCATTGATCTCCCCCCCGCCGCTGCGGATTGCGAAGCTCTCCTCATCAGAACAGTCACACAGAGCTTCATTCGCCAATAGCTGCTCCAGCGTTACCATCACTGTTGTCGCCTCGGCGCAAATCCATTTTGACTTGCTCCTCGCGATTGTCACAGTGCTTATTGCGCTCCAATTCACTGATCCTACCTTAAATCTGCGACGGAACAGTTCCTGCCCAATCTCTACTCCACGACCTGACCAACTCAAGGAATGTGAGCGTCCACTTCAACGAAGTCTGACTCGAACAAACAGCTTGGACAGTCTCCGGCATTATAAACTAAATATTCGTGTGGGACATCTTTCCAAATTGACATCAGCATCATGAACGAGTACCACCCGCCGTCGGCGAACGAAGCCTTCTCTCCTTCACAGGAGCGCGACCGATCCGGCAGCATGTCCTTGGGCAATATCCCCTTGAGTCCTCAGGGGCCCCCATCAGATCACGGCGGTGCTGCAGTTGACGACGCCATGAACAAAGACCAGAAACCCGAGGCCGAAACCACATCGCCTACGCAAACATCAGGCCCATCCGGTGTGAATTCCGAACAGATTAAGCAAGTCTCGGACGTTTTGTCTTCCGAGGTATGACATACCCCAAGCAACATGCTTAATGTCGGGATAATGGGCTAACTGTATTCAACAGATTGGCATTGTTACGCTACTGAATCGCCTCAAACAGAGCATAGCTTCAGCAAAGGTGAGAGACCGACTAGCTTTCGACCAGCTTCCCCACACTTAGGTAACCCAGTTCACTAACTTGGGATTCCAGGAATTTGCGTTGTTCCTCAAGAAGCGATCGAGTCTGGAAGAAGACCATGCCAATGGCATCAGGAAACTCACCCGTACCACCCAGGAGGTCATGCGCCGGCCCGATCATCGACAAGGCACATTCGGCAACGCATACGAGGCTATGGCAAGCACCCATGAACGTATGGCCGAGAATGGCATCGAGTTTGCCAAAGAGCTACACCAGATGCATGACGAGCTTATGGAGCTCGCTGGTGTTGCCGAGCGCAGCCGGAAGTCATGGAAGCAAAACGGCTTGTCCGCTGAGAACAAAGTGGCAGAGATGGAGCAGACTATGCGTAAGAGCAAGGCCAAGTACGACTCTCTTGCTGAGGATTATGAGCGGGTCAAGACCGGCGAGTCGCGCCAGAGCGGCAAGATGTTTGGCCTCAAGGGACACAAGTCAGCGCAACAGCATGAGGGTGAGCTGCTGAAGAAGGTTCAAGCTGCTGATTCTACCTACCACGGGCACGTCCAGGCCTTGCAGGCTGAGAAGGCCCAACTTGTTTCAACGACACGCCCAGAAGCCATTCGAGCTCTTCAAGACTCGATTAAGGAGATTGATGCAGGAATCTCATTGCAAATGCAGAAGTTTGGTAAGTCTTTCCCCGAGTATTCTGGGTCGTACAATCGCAGCTCATTTGTTATTTAGCCTCCTTCAATGAGCGCCTACTATTAAGCAATGGTCTGAGTGTCAGTCCCATTCAGGGTCCTGGGGCCCAAGGCAGCTCTGCTCAACGCAGTCTGCGACAGGCTGCTTCTTCGATTGATAACGACAAAGACCTAAATGACTATGTCACGGCACAACACAGAAGTGTGCCTCCCAACACTGGTGAAATCAAATATGAGCGCAATCCAGTAAGTGACTACCTAGTGACACGTAACCAGTATTGTGACTAACAATTTTAGGCGCTTAACCCTCCGGGCTCCAGCAGCCAACATAATCCAGGAGGCCCTGTTCAACAACCCGCTACTGTTGTGCAGTCACCAGTATCACAGACACAGCCCCAAGGTGGTTTCTCCGGACCACAGCCTTTGGGTCCAGGATCAAGGACCAGTACCCTTGGTCTTGGCCCTATTACTGGCGTTACTGGAGGTGACCCTTCATTCCCCCCAACTGACGACCCTCGACCTTTTTCGCAGCCTCATAATAGGAGCTTCAGTCAAGGGAACATGCCAGTGCAACAGGGCACTCCTGGCCAGCAATTTTCAGGTCGGGCCCCCAATCAACAACAGACACCTGGTCAAAGATATGGTAATGGGGGGTCTATCAGTTCATCCGGGCCACCGCAACTTGGTGCTCTGCCCTTCCAGCCAGGCGGTTCCCCTCCTCAACAGCCAGTTCCTGGCCAAGCTCCTCGTGAACGTTCAGGAAGTGGGGTAAACTCGGGACAAGGACCTCCAGGTGCTACACGGTCACCACCTCCCTACGGAGCTTCTAGTCACCCTCCTCCTGGCCCTGGGCCTTCCGGGCCTGCCAGGCCAATGTTCGGCTTGCCGCTAAGTCGTCTTTATGAACGTGACGGCTTGGCAGTACCAATGGTTGTTTACCAATGCATCCAGGCGGTGGATATGTACGGCCTTAATGTGGAAGGCATATACCGCCAGTCTGGGTCCATGGCTCACATACAAAGACTAAAGAATATGTTCGACACAGGTTCGTCATGTTCTACTTGTAGAAAGTACAGAGCTAATGATATAGCAGAGTCGTCCAACCCTGCGCTCGATTTTAGGAATCCCGAGAACTTTTATCATGACGTCAATAGTGTTACTGGCCTGTTGAAGCAGTTTTTCCGCGATCTCCCTGACCCGCTACTCACGCTCGAGTATCATGATAGCTTTATCACGGCTGCCAGTACGTGGCTCCAATTCCTCCCTTTCGTGTTTCTATCTCTCCTTGGCAAATACTGACTGATATGCACAGAACAAGAAGACGATACGGTACGTCGCGATTCGATTCACGCCATCATCAACAGTCTTCCTGATCCCAACTACGCTACACTGCGTGCTCTCACTCTTCACCTCTGGAGAGTCATGGACAACAGCCACAATAATCGCATGAACTGCCACAACCTAGCCGTCATTTTTGGCCCGACACTCATGGGCACTGATCCCAGCACTGCCATTGCCGATGCGGGCTGGCAGATCAAGGCCATCGACACCATCCTGCAGAACACGCTCCAAATCTTTGACGAGGATTAAACTTGTATGTAAGCGCCTCGCGTTGGTTAAGGGCATAATATGTAACGCTTTGTTGGAAGAGGCGGAGAGGGATGTTTATATCTATCCATGTTGGCTGTTTTTATGTTGCATGGCGTCTCGTATCTAATGCATGTTCGTTTCTTCCTGTGCTTGGAGATTAGTGTAAAACCACTGGGTGGCAAACCTGAGCGCTTTTTTTTCATGTGCTTCTTTTGCTCTTGTTCGGTTTACCTCTTATTTGCTCCTTTCGTGTGATGGCATTCTTGTATGTGAAAGGTTGGACTCGCAGTTATAAAAGGCAAGCCATTTCACATGGTTTGCTGTAGGGTAGTTGATATGACAACGCGTTGTTCAGTCTTCGCATGTAAGACTTTTGAACACGAACGACTGATAATTTGTGTAATGCAGTTACGGTATGACTGTAAGAAATGGAGTCGATGGTCTGACCCTTTCCCCCGTCACTTGGCTGTGGGAACTGCGCTTGGGCGGGTTTTAGATCACTTCACACAGATGATCCCAGGTGTTCATTAGCTGAGTGTATCTTCAACTTGTGTTTTTCACACTGCGTTGTCTTGCGACCTGATCCAATCTATTACTCAGTTAGTACACAAGGTTCAAGGCAGCAGCTGTGTGACCTCTTGAAACTTTACATTAAGGCCATTGTTCTTTGGCATAGTGTATGGTGCCTTATATTGTGTATCTTCTTATCTGACACCTGCCGGCTATATCTTGCGTGTTGCTATAGGGACATTATTCTCTTAAAATACATATGATATTCATGAACACGGTCAAGGATGGAATTTTCAGCGTACACAGGAGCGATACTACTAATGATGGTGATATGATGCTAATCAAGTGACTTGATTGAAGTTCTATGCTATTCCACTCCAACGAGTAATGTGGATAAATGCAGCGAGCCTTGTGCCCTCTGTTCTCATCAGACACCAACCTTGGTGTCTTTCATACATGATAAATGCTCAAGTATCGTGCGTGTTCTGTGCTCGACATATCATCAGCCGTTTCACCAGTCCTCTTTGTAATCAGCGCCATGCAAAAACACGCAAGCAAACCCCCAAAAAGCGGAAACAAAAAGAAATGCGTCATCTTCCCATTAAAGACAAAATAAAATATTCGACGAGACCATTGATGCACTGTGCCCCTTGTAGCCCAGAATAAACAATACTGAGAATAATATCCGTCTTGCAGTGCACATTATCGCTTATGCCAACATGCCTGAGTTCCGTAACAGGGGTATAGCCGTGAGAATAAGGAAAAGAAAACTTAGATACAGTCGGGCGCATGATAATGTTGGTGATGGTAATGATGGTGTAGGGAAAAGCCTGAACGCTGTTCGCGTCATGCTGTATGAAGGGTGTCAAAATCCTTGACATCAATAATTTGGTTTGTGGTGATTAGAAGAGACACAAGCCTGTCTTGAACGATCTCACTGAAGCTTGATAGCTTCAAAAAGACCTAGGCTTAAGCTCGTATCGTTCTCGCCAACATTGGGAGTCGGCTCACTAAGCACCTCCCAGCGACGAAGGATGAAGGGGCTCAGACGCTCCTGGACTACTGGCCCGATGCCATATTGCGCACCCATGCCACGAGCGGCAGCACTCTGGGGCGTTGCCGCCTTTTCTCGGTGGGAGAGCATAATATTGTCTGACGGGGACGGTGGTGGTGAGCTGAATAAATAGTAAAGTCGAGGGTCAGATGATGTTCCCTGGTTGGGCATCCCGCCTGGAGTTAACAGAATGGCCCTGGCACAGTTGGCTCGCAATTCCTCGGGCAGGGCATCTACCAGGAGGATGGCAATGTCGAAGACCTGCTGGACAAGGGAGCCAACAGTAGCTGGCGGCTGTGTTTCTAACTCAAGCAGCAGCCCGCAAAGCACAAGAACAATGCGTGCTCGAACATCATGCACGGGTGGGATAGGAGGCCGTGTCGCCGAAGCCGTGGGAAGAGGGGCTGATGGTGGCTCGGACGACAAGCTATGAAGGTTCACAAAGCGAAGCATAGCGGGCAGCCAATGCTGTAAAACGGCGGCGTGGCAGTTGGGACGCGCCTGAGGCCCTGCTGCAACGATTTCCCACAGGTCTATCAGCTTTTCGACCATGCCCAACGATAACTGTGCCATCTTAGGGGGAGCCTGGCCGGAGATAATAGCCTCCACTACTTCTAGCAAGTTCTCGGCCATGCGAAGGGACTGCCGTGACCCAGTGTCGACAAATTCAGGAGCCTTCGATGAAGGGATCAATTCAAGAAATCCCGTTTGAGCCTGTGTCTTGAGATGCTGGGTAATGTCGTCACTCAAACAAGGTAATAAGCTGGTCCACATGATGTTGCCTGCTTCAATGGCTCGATCCATCGCCCTGGCAAAGATCTCGAAGCGAGAGGAACTCTGATCTTGTCCCTCATTTACGCTGGGCTGTGGCAATGACAGATCCAAGTTAAGCTTCAGCTGGCAGAACGGCAGCGTCAACTCGTTGGCAATCTGCAAGATATGATCGAACGAGATTTGAGTATCGCCCGAGTCTCCAGGAATCAGAAGTTTCGTGGTCACCTTGCGGACGAGACCGACAGCTTCAGCAGGAAGCGCCTTGATGCCTAAAGCATTTGAGACGGCGGAGGAATCCACCAGAACAAGAGTTCGTAAGGTCTCAAGCAGACTTTCCTGGCACTCGATATTACCAAGGGGAAACTCGGTGCCACTGACATGATTTCTGACAGCCGAGTACTCGAGCAAAGCGTTTCGAACAAGGTTCAGTAATCCTTTGGACTGCTCAAACTTGGCGCACTTTTGCTCGGTATGAAAACGGTAGCTTTCCTCAGCCACAAGCCCTGTTCCCCGGGGAAGCGGCATGATGACGAGTTGTAAGAGTTCTTGTAAGTATGTCGCAGGACCTCTGGACGAATCTGGGGCAAGACTCTGGACAGTCGCGAACGGAGGGCTTGCTGTGCTCATTATGATAGGCATTGTCAGACACCCTGTAATGATAAGAAGTGGGAACAAAGTAGAAAGGGGGGAGCGGTTCGATATCGAACGAATGTGACTTGTCCAGTCGGTCATTAGTTTATCGAAATGGTGAGCATCAAAAACTCGTATTCTCGCGAGTAAAGTTGCCAACACCCGGCGCGTATCGTCCTCCTTCTCCCACCCGCGCTCAAGAGCAGGGATTATCATTCTGAAAAGCTTGTTCATTGTTGGAGGGTCCAATCGTGTTCCACTGGAAAGTGTTTTCTCTACTTCTTCGGCCACATTGTTTTCAGCTTGGTGAGAGGGAGTTGCCACGATGTCGGAAACCGGCGAGCAAGCATCAATAGCGTTGTTGCGATCATTTTGAACGAGTTCCTGGCGAAGTTGGCTGGCAATCACCTCATGACCAGCCATGCGTTGGGCAAGACTGTCAAGAGCAGCAAGTAGCGGTCGCGGAACGAGTCTTTGCTCCTCGTTCATCATTCTAAGGCGCTCGGTCAGACTGCTAAACAGTTCGTCTGCGCTATCCATGGCATAGAAGATTTGCAAGTTTGAATGGACAGTGTCGGCAACGGACGCCAGAACGTCAGAATCGGCGGTCTTCGCGCAAGCTCCAAGAATGTCGGATAACATGGCGTAATCTTCGGTCGTTTCCATAATGTCTCGAACAGCGGTGAACATAGTCAGAGATAAAGAGTGACCTTTCATGATGAAATGCCCAGTTAGCTCATCACGCAAATGTGCCCCAATGCTGCTCCTTACAGCAGTACTGCTACCGCCGATCCGTTGCAACAGCCTCTTGAGCGACATTGGCTTTCTTCCTGACAATGGATCATTTGACAGTAAGGGGAGCCCCACGACAAGTTTCACGACCCTGATGGCATTGGTGATATCTTGTTCCTCCTCAGCGACCGAATAGTTGCCAGCTCGTCTTAACAAGTTTCCTCTTTCAGCCCTTTTCTTCTCAGATAAAGCATGAAGCGGAAGTTCGACCAGTAACCTGCTAGAACACGGACCTGATACGGGGTCGATTTCCGCGGCACAATGATAACCACCACGAGCGATAGTCCACTGCATATATTGAGAGACAGAAAAGTGGCCGGTTCGAACGAGCTCCGTGACAAGGTGATATACGAGGTTCTTCCGTGCCTTGTCATTGGGGGCGATGTTGTCGAGCGTCTCGAGAATGGGCGTGGTAGGGTTCACACGAAATTGGCTCCATTGCCGAATTAAACGGGCTGCGGCATAAACTTTGGCTAAACCTGGACGATGGAACGAAGTTGCCCACTCAACTACTGTCCTCATTATCAAAGCCTTGTTCTCACTCGTTGCCCAGCATGCTGCGGCTAAATGGTTACCGCTAGACTCTTTCAAGGCAGCATCAAGCAACTTGACTAGCTGACTCCGCCCGGCAGGAGGAGAAGCGGTACTAGACACTACCAGGGCTGAGTTTCGTGAATTAATGGCATGTAGTGACTTTCGAGCCTGCTCATCATCAGAACGCAGACAAGCATGTAAAGTATCCTTGTACGTCGACCAGGCTCCGGGGTTGATGAAGCTCTCTGGGTTGGAACGAATTAGTGAGCCGAGCAAAGCTGACAGTCTACTGGAGAGTTGCACAAGAAGATCCTTATCAGGGTCGTTGGATATCTGGTCTTGCTTAGTCAAACCGTTTGGAAGAAGAGTTGCGTGTGAACCTACCACATGCAAGTGGCCGAGCAGAGCAAAAACAAGCCTGCGACCATACTTGCGTGACCTGAGAAGGTCTTTCCAGTAAATCTGAGCGATGAGAAGCCACATGGGAATACGCGACTGAAGGCTATTCTCAATTCCAGACACAACCCAGTCAAGGTAATGATCTCGATCTAGCAACTGCTCTGAATAAAGGTTCGTTGCTAAGCGGATGCTGCATGACAGTTAGCTGCCGTGATTCTGGACCAATAAACATGTCAACTTACGCATATGTGACTCGATTCTTCCAGTCGTTCTCACCAAACCCAGCAACAACGGCATCGACAAATTG